AATGTGTGAATAAGTATGTTCGCTCACAGTGTGTTTTACTCTCCCTCTGTGCAGCACTGGTTGGACGAGGACTGGACTTTCTTTGCACGACTTCAGCGGTCAGCGTGAAGCTCCTTAGAGGCCGTGGCAGGAGACGGGGATCTGAGCGGAGGAGGAGGAGGAGAGGGAGCCTGACCAGAGCATTTGACATTTACTGGCCTTTAGCTTCATTGTCAGACACTCAACAGGAGAGACTAGCAAGGACAAATCATGCAGTAAATCCTCCAAACACACACATGCACAGATTTCTAAAGGACGTTTCAAAACCATCAATCAAAGCTCTGCATGCAGAGGCATGTGTGTGTTATTTCTCCGTGAAAACCAAGTCTGTGGTAAAACTGCTAAAATGGACTGCACTTATGAAGCACTTTTCTCACCTTGAGACCACTCAGAGCGCTTTCACCTTACATATGACAACAACACATATGTTGTAAACACTGAAAGTAGAGGTCGCTATAGAGGGTTTTACACCAGGAGCAGTCACCATGTGGACTACAGGTGCTGATCAAACCGTCAACCTTTCTAATTCAAGACCCACTCCAATGAAAATCATGTTTTTCTTGTTGTCTACATGTTTATATGACATTTTTCTGATGCTACAGGACATTTCATGAGAAAAAGTAAGAGTGAAATTGCATTTCTGATTATTTCTGCATTCAAATCGCTGTTCAAGACCCCAACGTCAGGTTCAGACACAGTGAGATTTCCTACGTAGCAAATCCAAGCTCCACTGCCGGAGCCCCGCTATGCAGGCCAGACTTAGAGAAATAGAGAGGACGATCGCAGAAGAAGTGTGTGCGTTAGCGGATTGCAATGCTTGTAAGAAAGCTAATTATGATATTAACTTTCATCATGTCCCCAAAGACATTAGTGTCCAAGAGCTGAATAGCTCCTATGTTACCTGCTTCTTCTACTACACCGGCAATTGTAGGCTACAAGCTAACGTGAAGAGGAGTGTGCAGAGCAGCTCTGTCTCCGCCCATGACTCAGAGGCGAATTGCTAATGAGCTACTAGAACTCTGCAGAAGTAAAGCCATTGAAAATGACACAGGTAATGTGATTTTGGCTAAAAACTTCATAATCACAGTTTAAAGACCACTGAGAACACTTTAAGTAGTAAAAAACATAAACGATCTGAGTGAGACTTTAGGCAATGGATAAAAACATGCCTTGTTTGGATAAAAACGTCTTTCCCTTTTATGACAATTTGGTGAAAATGATCCGTGTGAACTCAGATCTGCAAAAATGACTAAAAAAAAACATCCAAACTATTAATGGACAAACACATTACTCAACAGAGCAGTAAGGACAAACTATCAAGAAGACGATGGCGACTGCATCCTTGAAAAAACAGACAACTGTGTCGAAGAAATTGGGTTGTTATGTCAAGCTGGGGTGACCATATCCTGACTTCCCAAAAACAGGGCACGACATTGCGGGGGTGGAGTCACGGAGTCATACACAGGTAGCTTTGTGAGTTTTTCGGATCGGCTTCTGAGCCAGTAAATGCGACACAAACTCGAAACTCCCGTACAAAACCACAGACATTTGAAGGATTTTATAAACTCCCCTGGACAAAGCCGGACAAACTTGGACAGCCCCCCCAAAAAGAGGATGAGTCCGGGTAAAAGAGAACATGTGGTCGCCCTAATCCAAGAGACCCTGGACTGCAGAGCGTCTAAATATCAGAGTTTGGTGATGGCTCAGTTTTCCAGTAGTAACAGGAACTTCCCTAATTCTGTATCAAATACATAAACATTACACCTCATCTGTTTTTGAAATCATTATTTGTCTTTCTGTTTCTGTAAGCACACAAAAAGTCATAACCACCCCTCTCTTCATAACGCTGATGCAGGGCCCACCATGTCTGAGCTTTCCTCTTCTTTGGTTTCGCTCCTCTGTCGGCGTGTGGGTCAAGCTTTGAACCATTTCTCTCCTCTGCTTCTCTCAGTAAATACCACAAACCCTTCTGTGAGCTGAATTACTTTAATACCCTACAATCCTTAACGGCACTGGACAGAGAAGTAAGGACAGAAGATTGACCCTCTATTTTGAAGGGATGATGCTTCAGAGGGCGCTGGAGCAGCCGCAGATTACGTTGGTTATCTGGACAAAGAATTCAAAGGCAGAAAAGAGGCCGGGCTTTTAGAGGATGATGGTTTTTTCCTCCCTCCTTAGAGCGCAAAGAGAAGAAGAGGAGCCTGTGCTTGTTGTCGTTTGGACCTTTAAGAGTCTTAGGTGAGACAGCAACATCTGAGAGGCATGAAATATAAACATGGATTTCCAATGAGCCTCCACCTTGACAAGTCTGGATCACAGGATGATTTATTTACAGTTTTGCTCAGTCTTGTATATTCCCTGGATGTTACGCCAATAAAATCAAAGCAAAAGCCTTGCTGATTCAGCCGATTGGCTGCCTGTTCTGAGCTCGACACAAAGGGTTCTGTATTCTGCAGCGTTTATTAAACAAGACAAATGATCCCTCTCTGAAGTTCCGCTCTAATGTGCATTTTTCTAATGGGTGTCATACAGACTATTGTTCCTGTTTGCAGAGGTGGAAAACTACACACAATAATAAGGTTGTGTGATCAAGAGAACGACCATTTATTCTAAGTGGCGTGATTGCTACTTCGCCATAATCAAATTTAATTTCTCTATGTCGATGCAGCAGCAGATCAGTGTTGGAGGTGTTTTTCCAGCTGCAGCACCAAAGTAAGATGCTGCACTGTGGTGAAGGAAGAGCTTTCTTTTTTATTATACAGGTCTTTGCAACAAGAAATACAGCTATAGTCTTTAAAGGAAGTAGATATACTCACACTACACAAGGGGCTGACCTGTCTCACAGCATCTCTTACCGACAGCTGCTCTCCCTCATTAGGTCAAACTCATACATTTAAATAAAACACCGGTGTATGAGTGGGGGAATAATCCTTGTGGAATTTTTGTTAGATTCAGTGGTGCCTGAGTTGGACGTGCTTGTGCATGTTTCTCTCGAAATAAATGTGCCAAATCTGGACAGCTGATTGGTGGGTCTGTCTCCTGCTTGACCGTGTCGAACGCTTCTGTCAACGTCGCGTTTCACGCAGCAAATAGGTTCCCATTCTGATCAATGCAGCAAACCCCACAGGACGCGTATCAGCTCCATCTCTGAAGCGTGTCGAGCGCTGCTCTGCTAAAAATACGGGCAGAGTCTTTTTTTTTTTGCTGCTCTACGCTTCCAACATGCATCAATCCACACAGTGAAGATCATTCAGGATGTCAAGCACAAAACAACACGCATGTTATACGGTAAATTTCAAAATAAAACACCATATGCGAACGCCCAACTATGTATCAGTTCATGTAGATGAGAAATACTCAGCAGAGATGCGACGCTGACAGAAGGCGCTTGACACGGATTCTGTGGGCTTTAGATCATTTCTCTTTCACCCTGAAATGAGTTAATTATTATCATTTCAGATCAATCTTCTCATAATTGCTTTTAAGGTGGCACGTGACAAAAGGAAATGGTTGCAGGTAGTCCTCAGGTTGACTTGTACCTCAAATTTATCAGTGCTATTTTAGCACAAACAGACGGTTAAACAGTAAGAGTACAAAGCTGCACAGAAACATGAGCATTGTGAAATTTACTGAAAGCGATGAAGGCTTCTTTGTGCAGGAAGATTATTGAAACTTTTTTTTTGCAATTACTTACGTGAAAATATTGGAGAAGAGTGTTGAAAAGCATTCAGTGGCATAAAATAATGTTAAAAGGGAACTTTATCACATGCATACAGCTTTAGACATGCAAATATACATATATATAACATGCACATTCCCAGTCCAATACAACATGGGTATAAAACTATAAATTAAGCCCTGAAAGAAAAACAATGCTTTAGCTTTAAGAAGTTATCAGACGTTTCTTTCTTTCTTTGTTTCGCTTTCACATTTTTATATTTATTGCTGCACTTGAGCTCGGCAGTCTTTATCTTGGACAGCCAGGCCTCTCCGGTCAACTTCAACACAAACACTCTTCTTTGTCAGCAAAAGCGCAATCAATCAACAAACATTTTCAGACAACTTAAAAGAAAAAACACAGACACACTCCTTTGTATGTATTTAGTGTTTGTTTTGTGTTTTATTTCCATCCACTGTATTTTCAGACTTAATGAAGCTGATTAAAAACAGAAGAAAACTGGGGGTGTTAGAGCTGCAGAGATAGAAAGTTACTTAAATCAATTCCAATTAGGCCACTTTTCCTTTAAAGTAAATGAAGATAAAAGCTGAATAAGATAAAATGGAGGGAGCTGCTGCCCAGAAACTATTCTGGGATTAAAATGAAGTCTGTTTATCCTGAAGCCAACATCTAAACACACAAACCTTGGACAAGCTGGGAAACACTTTCTTCTCCACTTTTACTATTACAGAATTAAAACAACAACAACAGATTTTAGAGGGAAAATGGTTAAAAAAAAAATCAAACATAATCTTTTTAAACTGCTAAATGATAGGTGATGTAGCAATATCTGCATTTTTGCAAATTGTTTTGGTTTAGTTGGTTGATTGTTTGCACTTGCATTATCAAAAGTCGTGAGAAGTACCCAAATAACCAGTCTGACTGTCCGACTTTTTGGAACTCTTCAGTTGGGACACTAAGCCTAACAATCTCCATGATAATGATTGAGAAAGAGGAGAGGCATGAAGAGATCATACTTCCTCAGTAAAGTTCTGTATCTTAAAGGGATATTTCAGCCTAAATTTAAGTTATGGTCAAAAACATCGTAACACAGAGTTAGACCCCTCTCGAGAGATGAATGTTGCCGACTGTTTGCTTCTCTAGTTCCACCAACTTCAGCAATGAAACCAAACACAACTAACCCACTCTTCTCCAGCAGCCACTTGTTTGTGGGGGAGCCCTGATGAGTCGACCACTGAGTGGCAGCGGAGTTTCGCAGCTCAAGGAAGAACATTTATGATCATTACTTCATGGAAATTAAATCAGACCGAGACGCTAAGGCAGAAGAACTACTGTGTCTGCAGTGCAAAATGATTATTATGATGATTATTACCTCAAGGAAATGATCCACTGCACTCGATGATCAACTCGTCAGGACTCCCCCTCAAACAAGCGGCTGCTGGAGGAGAGTAGGTGAGTTGTGTTTAGTCTCTTTGCTAGAGAAATCAGGCAAAGCTAAAAAGATGTTTGATGGCTAGTACTATGGCTGGGACCCTATAAGTACTATTGATGAAGTTAGGTGCTGCTCTGAGCATTATTTGTGGCTATAGAGTGGCTTTTTGGTTGAGGTTTAAACTTGGAGACGTAGACCGCTGTGTATTCCTATCGTGCAGTCGTTGCTGAAGTTATAACTAGAGAAGCAAGCAGTCGGAAACATTCATCTCTTGAGGGGGTGTCTAACTCGGTGTTACAGTGTGTTTGACCCTAACTTAATTTTACGCAGGAATATCCCTTTAATGCATCGTGATCTTATGTAAGTTGCTTTGAGAGTGCTGCAAAGGGAGAAGGAGATTGCAAAAGATGAAATAAAAGCTGAGAATAAAATTCAGAATAAACGCATCAAGTAAAAACAAGTGGAGTCTTTCCACAGAAGAACATGGAACAAGCTTTAGTTCTGAAAAGCCCTTTGAATTGACAGCAGTATATTTATCATGCATGTAAAACATAATCACAGCTAAATAGAGTAAGTACAGCCCTCAGGTGTGATGCTCATACCAGCAGTCTGAACATCATAATCTATTCACATACACGCCACAACTCTGAGTTTGTCACACAGCCGATACAAGCAAAGCAAACTCAACCAAACCGTATTAAACCAAACCAGACTGCTCGGCAGAAACGCTGTCCATATTGACCGCATCCATTACTAATACACCTCTGACACAAACCACACTGCCATCAGCTGTGAGCAAGAGACAAGAGGGAGACATCTGAGATTGAGAAGTATGTTCGGACTTCCAGTTTTTGCACTTTGAAAGAGTTTGGCCTCAAAATTTCAATCACAGATATGGTATCATTAATACTCCACTATCATTGATAAGTTAAACAGGCTAAGAAGCGCTGAAATAAACGGTCCCACCACCTCGGCACTGTCCCTCCAATTATCTGCTGCTGTGAGATAAGACAATTACTGCTCTGACCTTTATGAATTGCTGTTTTAATGCGAGTGACAGAAATTAATAGAAACAGGAGTCAAACAATTGTTTCACCTCAAGGTGTCTTGGATTACATCGCTTGCAGCCAGTCAATGTTCAATGTTACTAATCAAATAAGAAATATCGCAGCACCTCAGAAAACACAATTTTGACACAAGGTGGACACAGAGAAATCAAACTATCCAAACTTTTGCCTCTAACTTCAGCAGATGTTGTCCCTGAATGTTAGTTTTTTAGTAAATTAAATAAGAATCATCTTGCTAAAGAATAAGGCTCAAAATAAAGAAGTCATACAGAGTGCAAGCACTGATGTCAGACTACAGATAACAAAAGTCTTTCTTTCTTAAATTACTAAATTAAATTACTGTCTGTAAAATTGCTCATGTAAGAAATCTGAAATTCAGAAACTTTGGGAAAAGTTTCTTTTAAAGTCAAAATCTTATCATGTGCACCACAAACTTCCTCTCAAAACCACCATCTTTATCAGCAAAGACACTTTCTATATTTTGCTGGAGTAATGTTTTTTCTTCTGCCCCTAATCTAATAATGTATGCATTTATTTCCTACACCCCTCGCCGCTGTAGGCCGTGTTCGAAAAAGTAGATTAAGGTGTAAATCACCAATTGTGTACAGCAAGAAGAATAGAAACGGAGAGAGAGGCTGAAGATTAAAGTTTCATCTCTGTGATTGGTGACCGTCATGACTGCAGATGGTAAAAACAAGAGCAGAGACAGAGAGCGGGGAAATGAAGCAGGAAATAAACTACCCAGTGAAGAAGTGAACATGGCCTCTATGAACGACAAGTCATCGCTAAACCCGCCTGAGGCTGAGAGCAGCAAACGAATTTACCCCATTTATGGGAAAATCTGGAAAACATCCATATTCACGCGGGAAAAAAAGGTGTCTGACTGTGTGTGCGAGCCATGCGATGCTGCTGCCACAGCGCTGACATTTCGGACACCACCAGGAGGAAGGACTCGGGTGGAGAGAGGGCAGAGCAGCCCTGAACTGTGTCACAGCTTTCTGCCTGAGCGCAGTTTTGCATAATAACACCAAAACAAATGTGCGTATTTGGGGTCTGACACTGTTAGGAGGAGTGTGCATGACTCTTTTCTTCCTCTAAGGAGGTATTATCATATTTCTTAATGTTTACTGGCTGTGAATTCTACCTGCTCTCTGGGAGGAAGGTCTGACCTCATACATTTAAATGGCAAGTGTGCTGCCAGGGGTCATTTCCACAGCGAGGTCCTGCAGTTTGACACCATTTTGTGTCGTTGCCACTGCTTGTTTGTGCATCGTTTAGTTGTTGGCAGTGTTTTTGTGTTTTTTTCCCCAAACTCCTTGTTATATTTTGTCCTTTTACTGCTGCAGCCAAACAAAAAGATTTGAAAAGAAAAGAAAGAAATGGAATATACAGCTGGAAAAACACCTTTGACATGGGAATGATCAGTTATTCTTACATTCATACAGTGTTAATAGTCTAGGCATTAAACAGCACGAAGGTCAGAAAGTTTAGTAAATCAAATATCTACCAAAGCTTCAAGAATTTCTGTAATCTGAAGGGTCAAAACTTTTGTATGTCAGATAAAATATGGTAAAACAGATGTAATTTGAAAGCCAAAGTTTTAATTCATTTCCTCTGGTTTTGAACAAGCTGCAGTTCCTTAAGTTACCACTAGAGGCCGGTTGGAAAAGCCAAGAAATAAACCTTATTTATAAAAATGAACCTTTCCACAGAAGAGTAGAGCTGTTGAAATGTCTGATTGCCATAATAAATCAGTTTTATAGTGCCTAAACAATCAATAAATCAATCAATTAATCAATCCATCTTTATTTTTGTAGCCCCAATTCAAAGATGCTTAACAAGAAAAATCTGTAAAGATGGACTGAGACTGACCCCTATCTTTGAAAATCAGACCCACTCCCATCTCATCTTCAACCACATGAGTGAAATACTTTACAGCTTTTCTGAAGTTATAGTGAAGAAGAAGAAGAACTTTCTTTAACAGGCAGAAACCTCGAGCAGAACCAGACTCATGTTAGACAGTCATCTGCTGAGACTGAGCTGGGATCACCTCACAGGAGGCGTGTTAACCAACATACAGGACCACGACTTTTACCGTATACTTCTTTTGGTGTGATATCAACATTTAATGACATTTGTTATGAAAACTAGGACATTTTGACAGCTCTACAGCCGACCCAACGTTTTTACAGACTGGTGCTAAAAACTGTTTTGACCTCCTGTCTTTATTGGTGACCATGTTGGGCAAGTTACTGAAAATTAGATTACAGTACAACTTTCCACTATCAAAGTACCTGAATTACTGTGTTATTGTACTATTAACAGTGTTGGGGTAGTTACTCATCAAGAGTAGTTTGTTACTAGTAACTAGTTACTTCTGTAAATTGTAATGAGATTACTAAACTAGTTACTGCATTTGAAAAGTAACTTCACTATTTATTACTTTACTTTTCCGTTTCTTAATTTACCATATAGAGGTACATGGACAAACATCATAGTCCGATCATTCTTTCTTTCTTTCTTTCTTTTTTTATTTTATTTCAAACATTATCTAATCAAATAAGACAGTAAAATACAAATCAGGAAGAAAAAGAAAACCAACAACAATGTCCGAAAAGGAGTAGGATGAAGTTTAAAACTTATCGAGCTCCTACCCCCCTTTTGCCAACACAAACTTCTTTACTGCATATACAATAGTTTAAATGACTTCAACAGATCTGAACTTTGCACAAAGGGAAACAAAGCTGATATAACACAGAAAGGCGCGTTCCTATTGTTTAGTAAAGTAATTAAGTTACTGATTTTTTTTTTAGTGTAGTGTGTTACTTTACTTTGTCACCCCAAAAAGGTAAAATCGTTACTGTACTCCATTTCTTTATAGTGCGTTACCCCCAACACTGCTTATTAAACGAGGTATAATCAGGAATATGGTTGATCTGACTTGCATATGGGCTCATTATGATTATTCAATGGCTGACAGTAATGGAGTCAAGGAATATCCTTGACCTTTTTGGCGTGCTTAAACTTTGCAGGTCAATTTACAGTGGTTTTATAGTACTATATTTAAAGTACTGTATGTTTGGATGAATAAATGCTTTCATTAAGAGGCCGATCAGGTAGCTAACCTGCATTTCTTTAACAACAAAACACATCTATTTCTAAACCTGGCACTAAATCCTGCAAATTACACACAGGCTGCAATGCTGTGTGGGAAACACGAGCCAAAGCTGTACACCAGTGTAGTCGTGCCCATAGAATATATTATGGATATAAATGAAAGCTGGAAAAACATCCAGCAAGCTGTGCCTTTACTCTCTAACAAAAGCAGAAAAAAGAGGAAGAACAAATACAACGACTGGATCTAGTTTGCTCTAGAGAAAAGCAGACAAAAAAGCCGGACAGAGAATGATTAGCCTGCTGGATATCTGAAAGGAATTCGAAGGTGAACCGTCCGAAACCCCCTCTGTGCCAAGAGAAGAGTAATAGAGACAGCCAAAGCCAACATCTTCATCTGAGATCAATGCTCTCTAATCCAGGACACATGCTCGCATTAATGATTTCTTAACCTCTCACACCGTCTTCCTCGGCCCCCCAACCCACCTCTTAATCTCTGACCTGCTCAATCCCCCAGCGATGTTTGCCAAACAACCCAGATCCCTGAATCCCAATAACTCCATCCTGCTGGAGCAACACCATTTGGCACCCAGTGTGTTTTAAAAATGGTGTCCCACTGAAATGTTCTCTCCCCTCTGCAGAGCCTCCATCCCCCTGATAAATACCTTTTCATTTAATGATGCAATTTTGCTGAAAAGTTCAAGATCATTACAGACCAGAAAGTGAGAGGTGCATACATTACAGGCGACTAAAAACAATGAGATTGCCAATTCGCCAATGAAAAATATAACCAAGCTTGGTGTACAGGCTGTTGTGTATTTATGGGAGCCCATTTGCTGCAGCTGATATTTGTAACTAGAAGGGGGCACCACAGTATGTTATGTCTGAAATGAAATATGAAACCATTACGGCAACAACTGTGAGGATTTGGAGGAAGTCTGGCTGAACGCTGAGAGCTGGAAATCAACTCACAATGTGGTGTCCCATCATCCGCCGTGAGATCAAGATTTTGGGTGGTGGAAAGACTTACAAAGCTCACAGAGATGGATGGTCTCATGAATTAGTTTGCTTTAAAAAAATCACGTGTCTTTTTTTTTCCAGACACACTGCATATTATTTGAGCACGAGCAATGTTCAAACTTAAGCAGGATAGAGACCCAGGAAGGCCAGAAAAATATGAAATAAAAAGGACCGATCTGTCAAAGTTGTCTACAGAGAGGGCATTAAAGGTGACCTATTGTGCTGATATGTATTCATATACATTCATATAATGATACAGGAGTAGATATGTATGTCCCAGGACTTGTATTCTGGGTTGTCAGCTGGTTTTATAACTCGGTAAGACTTGACCTAAACCTGACATCAGGCTCTGCTGTCGTTGCTCTGCTTTGACTCAGCTCTGCATTTTATTCACAAAGTATAACTCTGAGTTTCTTGTTTGTTCCCTCTTTGTTTCTACTTTCTCTTCCCAAAGATAAGACACCAGAAAACAGTTACAACTTTTTATGTTATTAAGGACAGCAAACAGCCACGCCATGGCTGCTCACCTCCGTTGACTTGACCTGTACAAACTGGATTTACGTCTCATCTGCTGCCTAAACCTGAAGCTGCGCTATACTTTTAGCCTAAATTGTTGCTTCCGCTTCGGGTTGGGCAACCAAACCTCTATAAATTATTTGACAGACAACGTCACATCCTGTGAGTCTTCAGAGGAAGTCTGCAGGAACTTTGCTATTGAAACATGTCAAAGTAATGAAGGAAATAGAAGAAATTATAGTGCATGGACTGTTTTGGACTTAACTGTTCCATCTACAAGACCTTCGAATGTCCTAAGTAACATACGATGGAGCGAACATCGGTGCAAATGGCATGCATGGATGTTTTCCGTAAAGGCGTCACTTTTGGACCGCTTCGTAAATACAAATCTGAGCGGGAAGTTAAACTCACAGGCTAGGTGTAACTTTCTGTCAGTGGAAAAGCTGCCAAAAATTAAGTATTTCAGACTTAAACTGAAGGGTGTCTTAAACAGAATGAGAAAAACAGGGAGGTTTTTCAGCTGCAAATCCTGCAGAGCTCATGCAAAGGAGTCCCAGACTAACATGAGACCACATATGAAAAAGTCACGTACACACATCATCGTATTCAGATAAAATCCCATCCGCACAAAACCGCATAAATGTGCTATTGACTGTGGCTATAAAGCATGCCAGAGCTGGAGTTGGTAGTATTTGCCAAAAAGTTGGACCCATTCTATCCAGTCAGAGAAAGCTACCCTTTCTCGTCGTCACTTCCCCAAACATGAAACATAGCACCGTATAGTTTGTTCGTGTGGATGACAAAGAGGTGTAATTGTTTTTAAGCATTGTTTCTGAACATAAAGTCAACACGACACAAGAAAGTTGGAGGAAGGGTAATTTGGTGTAGGATAACCAACTGCAAAGCACTCCTTCACCTTTGCACCTCATAAAAATATATATTCCGTATAAATCTGTGCTGTCAACTGCCTGACATAAACAAGGGTGCATAGTATATGATGTTTATCTATTAGTTGTCACAGACAACGACGTTTGGGAATTTAAAACTCCGGTTATCTATGTCCACACACAAACGCAAAATCTTTCCAAAATCTTTGCTTTAGTCAGAGTTTTTCAAAAGTGCAGTTTTAATGATGTGAGCCTACATTTTCCAGCCAAAACGTATAAAAATATATTTGTTTCAGCAAACACATGTGGACATGGCCTCAGGGGTGCAAAGAAACTTTCAGATCAGACGCACACAGCTGATCCTGCATCAGGATGATTCCTACACCAGTGACTGGCCAGAGTGTGCAAACCTCAGAGTAAATGTGGGCTTTATTATTTTTGCAGAAACAACTTATAACACCTGTAGACAGAAAATTAATAATATATGAGTCTTTACATTGAGGTTTTTTTTTTTCAATATTCAATAAAAAACTCAAAAACTGGACATGCTGTACCCTGTCTTCCATGTTGTTGCTTCAGAGAGATGCCTTCGCAGCTCTCTCCCTGTGTGTGTGTGTGTGTGTGTGTGTGTGTGTGTGTGTGTGTGTGTGTGTGTGTGTGTGTGTGTGTGTGTGTGTGTGTGTGTGTGTGTGTGTGTGTGTGTGTGTGTGTGTTTATGTGTGCCAAACCTTGCAGCTCTTGTCCAGTGTCAAACAGCAGAGCCACTGAAAACAGAAGCTGAAGCCAAAATGTCAGAGTCTGGTAGTGTACAAGCATAAAGCTGAAGTTGTTGGATTAAATTAAGTTCAAAATGTCACATTCCTGAAAGCGCAGTCAATAAGTGTAACTTCTTGTAAAGACCAGAGGCTGTGTTCCTGCTGGTTTCACTCTTCTGACACTCTCCACGGCTCATCGTGTTCTCACAAAGAGAGGCTACAGAGCTTTTAATAACACACAGAGAGCTCCGCCATCAAACAGCGCACAGCTCCAATGATGCATGCCAAACTAAAACAAATGGGATACAGTGCATTTTCCTGTGAGACCAGGCGTCTACACAGCCTCGGATTTACCCCACATCCCGCCATGCACATCCTAGTGCGGCTGAGCTTTGTCAATTAGGACCGCGCTCCCTAATTAGATTCCCTGAGTTAGAGCGATATTTGCTTTTCGGCTTTGCAGCTTCTCGTGGGAGTGCGAAGATATTCAAATCCTTCTGATCAGCACATAATAGTGTTTGGACTCAGTGATAATTACACCAAAGTGTTACTGTTTAATCATATTTAGAGAAGTGATTTTCCTAATGTAGGACACCTCAGTTCACAAAAAAATAACATGTCAGGACAGATTTTTGTTTGAAATTACCTCACAGGTTTATGAGGGGGATGTTAGTGTGACAATGCTGATATTCAGCGTTGCCAGTATATTACATTCCCAAACTAACTCTGTGCCATTATGAGATAGACTCTTTGTGCCGGGGCAACAAATGAGATTTCACAAAAACTCATTTGTGTGTCTCCCTGACTTCTCAGATTAGAGCCTTTGTAATACATCCTGCTTTTAAAGCCCCTAGTTATAATCGAGGTTAATGTGAAGGACGACAAAATACTGTACCGCCAAACAAACAAGACTGATCTCTGACAGCCTGAAACCTACACAAACCTCTTAGTGAAATAATAAAGGCACAGTGATGAGGGTGTTAGGGAATATGTCAAGGCCCACTCTAAGAAAGCTCTGAAGAGACTAAAATCATCATTTAAATGGAGATTAAAACTCTGTCTGACAAATTTGTCTGATGGTTAAAAAGACACTTATTTAGTTTACACAGCTCAAAACAGGATTATTGGTTTGTCCAGTGGGGCTACCATTAGCAGAGCTAGCACCTTCCTCCCACCTAGCAGGTTCATGTCCACAGACTTATACTGCTAAACTTGAGCTTTAAAAACATACGATGTTGGTGCTTTGTGGTTTTCCTTTTAAAGCAAAAGCCTGACCAACGCTTAATCGGAGGCACTCCCCTCCATGCTTTTATTCTGAAGTCGTATCCTGGGCACTTGTTTGGTTAGGAGAGTCACTTGCATGGCTCTTAACTCTTGCAACGTTTAATAATTTTATTTATTTTTTTAACCTGAAATGCTCAATGTTCCGTACGGAAGTGTATTGCATTCACTCATTTAAAAAAAAACAAAAAGGAAACTTTTTTTTTTTTTGAGTAGTTTTTTTTTCTTTGCTGTTTTTTGGACCAATATTTTTTTCCCCTCTTTATGTTTTTTGGACAAATTTTTATTCTGTTTTTCATACTTTTTTTCCCCATCTTTCTGTTTTTTGTACCTTTGATTTTCGTCTTTGTTTTGCGGACGATAACGTTAACAACCTTGGCTGCTCCAAATCAGCGGATTCTCCAGCTCCTAGATAACTTCGACTACAGATTCAATGAGAGTAAGGCATGTTATTAGTTAAACATCGGGTATGCAAATCCTGAGGTACCTGCGCAAAGTAGACAAACTTATGACGAATCCATCTGTCTGACCTGAAGAAAAGAGGATCTCTCAGCGTCTCAAACCCAAAAGAAAGTAAAACTTGATTCAACTAAACAATCGGGCCATGTTTGCCTCCAATGAATCGAGCAGAGGGGGATGAAAGCATCTGTTTTTATATGATCATGATCCCAGAGAGGAGGAAAAACAAAACAAAACAAAAAAATAGTCAGAAAAACAGAAAAGAAAAAGAAAATTATTCTAAAAAGCAGAAAAAAGTTCGAGGAACAGAACAGAAAAAATTACACTGAAAAAAATAGCTTTTTTGGGGGGGGGGGTGAATTCAATACTTCTGAAGTCTGGCATTTAACCCCATTTTTAACATTTTGCACAATTATCTCTTTTTTCACCCAACAAACTAACCTTTCTATCGTTTTCAATCTCAAAATGGATATTCTTGTGCGTTATACTCATGGGGTAAATCCAACAGAAGTGAATCATCACTAGGTCAAAGATTTTTCCGCCATCGCCATCTGTCTTTGCAGGAAATCTCCCAGAATCGAGTTAATGTGCGAGGTTTTATCTCACTCATACATCAGGAAGGTTGGTGTCAGTAAGAATCCCACTAATGACACAGTTGAATGTGTCGCTGCTCATCTCACTCACGCATACTTTGCGGTTTCATACTAATATCTTTGAATTACCCAATTTTCAGGTAAGCCATTCCACATAGGTGACACAAAGTGGCTTTCCCGGGAGTATAACACCATGTCAAATGCATGCTGGGATACTCTTCAGCTCCATGCACCCCTGCAGGGTATGAACAGTTTAGAAAATAGATGTCTGAATGAATCTATCTGACGTTTTTTTGCACCGCGTCTTTCAGCACCATGTCACTGCTTGCCATCAGTGTCCAAAGGATGCTTTTCCAATTCAGAGTCAATCAGGGAGAAAATGAAAATCTCACTGGGCTGTATTATTTATACACAGTGAGCCTACTTTCAGCACGCTGCCATCAGCAGCTCTCCCTCATTATGCAAACACAAACACACAGGCACACACGCCGCAAGACCAATTTACACATACTTTGCATTTACATTTTTATGCATGTACAGTTTGACAGAAAGGATTTACTTTCATACTCCTACACTGGAATATATTTCTGTCTTATGCATTTAATTTCTGATGGGAGACAAAGGTTTTTATGCGCTTAGTTAGGGGTGGATTTGTTTCATGAGGATTGTGGGTTTGAAAAGACAACGTGGAAGCTAAATGAGTAAAGAGGAATCACTGACAAAGTCAGACTACATGAAATATTAATGCATGCCAAATGGTTCATGGAAAGAAAACATGAGACAACATTACTACACATGCATTAAACTGATGATGTGGTGATGTGCTACCTGCCCAATATAGAGATGTGCCTCCATGTTCCAAATAAGAGGAGCTGATTAGCTCACAAGTGCTCCCTTTAAAGGTACTCTTGTGCAGTACAACAGGCTTGATAAAAATGAAGCATGGCATTTATGACTCAAATACACTTGAATATTAAAGCCTTTTTCTTCCTGTTGATTCAGAATGAGTCATTTACATCTACATAAGGTGCAGGTCCCCTCCCAAGAAGGCTGATGTACTGCATCTTCTGATTTCTACAACAGCATCTACGTAGCAAGAGACACACATTTGTATATTTAGTGGTTGCCAAAGTGTTGTTGTGCAAAAAGACAGTAAAAACTTGACAATAGAGGGTCATATCTATCTATATGCAGGACAGGAGTTTTTTGTCCTTGAGGGCACCGTCATGTTTGGAACCTTGCCATTGCAAAGGGGTAGCAACTAGTGGTGCAACGGATCATCATTGATCCGTGATCCGTTCGGATCGACGTATTCGGTTCGGCACACATGTGATCCGCGGATCGATTTCTGAAAGCGGAGAAAGGAGGAGCTCGAACGCCCCGCGACACTTAAATCCCCTGTATGGGAGCATTTTGGCTTCCCTGTCAACTATGATGAAGAAGGAAAGAGGTCAGTGTACAAAACTGCGACGGAGTGTAGGCACTGTGGCATAAGAAAGCCATATGACAGTGGAAACACATCGAGCATGTTCACGCATTTGAAGCGACATCACCCGGGTGTTTTACTGACAGGTGTTGTGCCGTAGATTGCACCCCTGCCGTAGAACGCACCCCCTGCATCCCCTCCACCCGTTAGCTTCTTAAAGTGGAGATAATGATCTCATATTTGATATGAATAGCCTGAATGAAATTATTAAAGGCAAACGCTGTTGAATACATCCAACGTAAGGAAAACTTGTATTATTTCGCCTTGTTATGTACTTTCAACCGCGCTCCCGTTAGGGGGTGCACTATACGGCAGGGGTGCATTCTTTGGCATAACACCTGAGATAAAACGAAAGCTGCCCAACAACCGCTCATCACCGCAGCATTTAAGCAGCCTCTTCCTGCGCAATCCGACCGGGTTAAAGCTATCACAAACTCTATCGGTGTGTTTATAGCTGCAGACATGAGGCCGTATTCAGTTGTGCAAAACGAGGGCTTTAAAAACATGCTGAAAGTGCTTGAGCCACGTTACGACATCCCATCGCGCACACACTTCATTTTTGGTTCATTGTTACATTTTAAAGGAAGGAGATATGCCTATATATTGTACTTTAAGTTGTTTTTCATTAATAATTATGTTAAAAAGAAGATATTATGCCCTGTGCACTACTTTTATATATTTTATTTGTCTTGTTTTTTTTTTCTTTTTGCTGATCCGAAAAATGATCCGATCCGTGACTCTTGATCCGAGGAACGATCCGATCCGTGAGTTTTGTGATCCGTTGCACCACTAGTAGCAACAGAGCATTTCAATGTAAAACCAGACTCACGCAGTAAAGATGACAAAGACCACAGATTTCTCTTCTCAGTTTTTGTTAAACAGCTGCTTCAGGACGCTGTTTCCTCAATCAATCAGAATTTAACATTGCTGGGTGATGAGCAAGAAAGCCAAGTAAGAGGTTGACGTTTAAATCATAGATTGTATGTAGAACAGGCTGCAGTATAGGTCATAAATCCCGCCTCCTCCAGCAATCCCTATGGAGCTGTGGACAAACTTTAGACATTAATTACACAGAATAAAATTTTTTCTCCCCCCTGGTTGTGATGTGGACATGTAGTTACTGTCAGACTGGTTTGTGCTCAAGTCCTTTTTTTTCTGTGCAGCTCCATTTTTAAAAGTTATTAGGGGGTTCATGTTTTCTATGATTGACACTCAATACAGCTTATGGGCGTACGAAGATTGCGTAACTCAGCCACGGGGAAACACTGTTTGAGCCGAGTGTCATAACAGCGACTCTCTCGCCAAATACGTACAACGCTACTGCGCAAAAGTGGTTCCAGGAAGTGGAATTCGGCATTAAATTCATATAATGACTGAAGGCGGAGCCAAGTTGTCCACAGTATATACAGTCTATGAATGAAATGTAGCATAATAAATGCTCTTGTTAGCCTCATAGGGTCACATACAAGAGGGGCATCAGAGAGACAACAAACAATTAGTCTGCCCACAACAGTTCCTGAACAACTTTTTGTTTCCATCACAAAGACCAACATGTGACTAAAAATACATCACTTAAAAAAAAACTGAAAAATATAGTTTTTCCATTAACAAGATAAAATTTAAATGAGAATGTTAAAGATGCACCATCAGACATTTCATGTCCATCTTTTCCCCACCAACTTTATCTTTAGTTTACCATCAAAGTCAGTTTAATATTTGAAGTTTGCCAAATTTTTCCAGTAGTAGCATTGACCGCTATGTGTTAAAATCTTAATCTATAATAACGTGGCGTTTATTCAGTTCAATGTTGACTTAAACCACTAAAAATGACCAAAATGTGACAGAAACTAAAAAGGTATTTTCATCAAAAGACCAAGTTTATGACTAAATCTTGAAGAGCTGCCAATAAAACCACAGTTTGTTGACACTTTTCTAACTCCAATCTTTTTTTAAGTGTCAAATTAAAAAGTGTTAAATAACCCACAGGCTCTGTTGTGTCAAATTAAACACTCATACTTAGCCAACACTAAAAGATATTAGAAAGTTTCATGAAAACTTACCTGAACTGTTACTACCACGCTGTGAGGTGAATCACTACAGCAATTAATTTCATTGTTCTGTGTTTCCGCCACATCAACTGGGGATTAAAGAACAAAGGAGGGAATAAAAGAAAACGGGTGAACAGTGCTGAGTTTAGAGGACGACATGTCATGGCAGAGAGGTCTTAAATTCTGACGAGGAGCCGGATTTGACAGGGACCATCTCCCTGACACTCTAGAAGTTTAATCATCTCTCATGGTTTCACACATCATTGCTCCTTGCTCAAGATTAGATAAATCACTCCTTTTAATAAAGCCTTTTCATGGAGTTCGCAGACTCTCAGAGGAAATCGTGATCTAAGGAGTCTCCGACTGTGGTAATGTCAAATATCTACATAAGTCTCTCACTGATAATACCCTGGTTTATTACCTTGTTGGTCACAGAAGGTCGTCGCACCGATGCTTGTCACTTTTCCCTTCTAAAATGAAGCTGCAGGCGGGGAACAACTCTTGTGGCCTCACATGACCAGAAGTCATTTGCCTGATATGCTGCGGGTCAAGCCGCGGGTCCAGACAACAGTTCAGGTAGTCATTGAAATGGATGAGGTGAGATAATACAAGATTCTGTGAAAGGGGTTTCAAACAGAGGTCCTGGGAAGTTCAAATCATTTGCATTTGAACTTTTCGTACCCTGGATGTGTTCCCAGAGCAGAAAAACTAAAGCCATTACCATAGATGTGAAAATACTATCAAAGTGGTGGAAGTGTTCAGTCCCGGCACTCCTGGGATTCTTTAACTGTTCACTGTTGGCATGAAAACACCTGAACTTTAACAGTAACAAGAGCCACCTTGCCTTTTTAATGACTGTCTAATTATACAAAGGACACCAGTGCTAATATTCAGTTTCAATATCTTCTAATGGTTGTAAAAAGACAACTGATGAAGTTAAAGTTCCAGATCATGGGACGTGGCTCAGCAGTGCGATGAAGGGAAAATCTGTCCTCTATTACAAACCACTATAAACTGGATCAAGTTTTTAAATGGAAAAATTCAATTTTTTGAACAGTTTCAAGAGAAAGGCGCTCAGCTGTCCTGTACTGTGCCAAAATACCAAAATTTTCTCTGCCTCGAGTACTCCTTTATAAGCTCAAATCGTCAACTTTTCACACAGATTATTTTCAAGGTGACACAGTGCACTCACGTCACCACGGTAGAAGAGGGAGTAAGCGCAGTTTTGGTTGTGCCCAGCGGAAAAAATGAATGATGAGAGGGACTTTTCTTCTGCTGAGCTCCAGTAGCTCATTAGCAGTTCGCCTCTGAGTCGTGGGCGTAGACAGCGCTGCTCTGCACACTCCTCTTCATGCTAGCTTGCACTTCGGGATTGTTCCGTGATTGTCCTGTTTCTCTGAGTCTGGCCTTCATAGCGGGGCTCTGGGGGTGGAGCTTGGATTTGTGATGTAGGAAATCTCACTGTATGTGAGTCTGCTGTTTGGGTCCAATTACTTGAATAATCGATGGAATATTCCGTAGAATACTGGATTACTAAAATATTTGATAGCTGCAGCCCTAACACTGACTGACTGCTTTCCTCAAGCACTGACTCATAATGAATAATTCTCTCCTTTAGCGTAGAACCCATTGGCCAGCTTGTAATAATAGAATCCTTGTGAAAAGACAACCAAATTTAAGGCTCTTTTAGTCTAGATTTATTTTGATTTGATGTTAAGAAACTAAGTCCCAAGAGTGATTGTTAGCTGCACCAGCATAAAAACACTATTTTAGGACACTGAAGTTGACTTGTCACTCAAAGATGTCTTGTGGATTCTGGTAGTGCATAATGGGAAAATGCAATTTCCTCATGTTTTTTTCTTGCAGTGTGATGTAACCTGAGAGGACAGAACTACAAAACGAAACCAACTACATGAACTACAAACGAAACCAAGAACACTTTCAGTATCAATATCTGGGCTCACACCGACCACTGGGTAAGGGTTAGATTGGCACACAATTTTGACCTGTATAGTAAAATAATAAAACCTGGTGAAGCTGCACTTTAAATGTGTTGTACTCTCACAATAAAGTCACTTCAGCATGCAGGAGTTAATTATGTTACCAATAGCATCAACCTGCACCTGAGCTGTTGTACGAACACCCCTATTTACCTCTAATAACACATTCCTTATTGGCACAATGTTGTTCCCACGCTGAATGATACAGCTCATGAAATAACTGATCTAGGAGGACGTGCTCCCCAACATAGAAATAAGGACGATCATTACATGTAGATGCTGCATACTGAACTAGAATGAAATCCTCCTTGGGGATCCCGAGACATTCAAAGGCCAAGTACTTACACATCATCCTAGTGTGTTTGGTTTTTCCCCAGAGATTTCCTTTAGTGTCCTGAATCCTTCAGGGAGATATCCAGGAAGCATGATCAGAGGCCCAAACCACCTCAATCAGGTCTATTCAGTGTGAACCAGCGAGTCCCAGCTCCTCGTTCCGTCCCTGTGGGGTAAGCCCACACAATCTGCAAAGGAAACTCGTTTCAGCCTCTTGTGTTTTCAATTTCATTCTCATTGTTGCTTCCCAGAGCTGCCGGCCCCAGGTGACGACGGGAATGTAGATTTGAAAATTGAGACAAAGCTTTCAATTGATATACACAATCTGGAGGACATCCATCACTGTGGACACTGTACCGATTGTTTGGTGAGGGTTATTTATTCAGGAGCACCGGGGACAAAAACTGCTGAGTAATCAGAGGGCATAGAGGGAGGAAACTGATGTGGAAAAAGTTGTTTCATTTCATAGATAACTGACGTTACAGGTAATATTCACCTTTTTTACATAAGAAAGTGGACAACTATTAAATCACAAGGTTGAAGTTTAAAGCGAGTCGATACTAGAGGGGTTAACTTGTGGGTTTTGTTTGGGCAGACCCTTTACTCTTTATGAAATAACTAAAGCCATACCTTTAAGATAAGCAGCTTCCTGTCTTTTAGCAGTTGTATTACTGGAGTAGTATATTGTTTGAGGTTATGCTGCAGAAATTTGCATTATTACAAATCTACCGTGCACACTGTATGGTTTTCTGTCATGATGATTTTCTGTATCAAACAAATAATTAATATTTATTATCCAGTTATGCAAAGAGGGTCAAATCGAGAGTTACATATTGTTCGGGAAATTCCCCTCCATCCAAATTACATCTACGACTTTTGACAGGTTGTTTTTACCTGTAAATGTGAATAACAAGCTCTCATTTATTCTGTCTCATTTTCCCTTAAAGGAGTTGCTTTCAGGTGCTATCTTCTACTTTGTGCAGAGGCAATGTGAAAAAAAGAGTCCTGAAGTTGGGGTTTGCTTTCATTTTGCAAGAGTCAGCCAATCAAAATTTCTAACATGGTTGATATTCATCCAACACAGGCATGATTAGCCCTTGTACAGCAAACAATGTACAAATCAGCTGAAACTTGACCTATACTTATACTCAGTTATAGGACAACATCATCAGGTCAGAACTGCAGATTGTAAACACAGTCAAAGAGGAGTCGATCTTATTTGAGGGAACAATTTCAGGCTAGGGCTGATATGGCCTTAAATTAGTATCACGATATATTGGGCAGTTCACCTCAGTAACGATGGATGGACGATAACTACTCCATCTCCTCACCTGTCTTTTCCTCTTTGTTACGGACTGGATGGGATGGAGTCATGTCTCTGACGTAGGACAGCATCTTAAAGGGACATGAGACCATAGCCTCCCTACACACATCCAAAACCAACTTTTATTTATTTATTTTTTTTACACCAAATATACCGATATGTGCAAAATGATGTTGGTTATTTTCGTAAATTTCGGTATCAGTAAATTTTTGTTTTATTGCCCAGCCCTGTATGGGACCTTGTTAATTCTTAACTGGACTTCAATTTCATTTGAGAGACTACTGGTCAATAATTCAACTGACCTGTAAGTATATCCTGTTACGTAACATGGGATATCCAGGACATTTTTTTTTTTTAGCTGGTCAAGTCTTACAACTTGAACAGAGAAACTTAAATTCAGAGACAACATCTATGACCAAATATTATCTAGATTTCGATGCAGTAAATCAGGCCAGATTATGTATTTATATGTTAGTTTCAGTAAAATTAGCAGATTCGTATCATGACCCTAATTGAATAGCTTGAAAGAACTATGTTGCATCATTATACAAGGACTCAACTTTATTATCCAAGCTGAAGCTCAAATCATTTTTCCGGTGACAAAGAATCATGAAATAATATCTATGAAATCCTCACATTCACTGCCAGCTACTTCTAAAACTTTAATAACCTAACAATTTACAGTAGAGTCAGCTTCCTCCAGTCAGTTCAGGCTATGAGAGGGAACAAAGAACTGTCACTTTAACTAAGACGTTCATAAATTCAACCTTGGTGCAGTGCATGCCGAGGAGAGATGTCCTGCACATCCTCGTGGATCCTGTCTCGGTCTCTGGGGAGAGGTTAGTGAAGATGAAGGGCAGTGTGAGAAGCGATGCTCGTTTGACAGCAGGAGCAGGTGAGAATAATTCACAGCTTTTATCACTGCAAGACAAGGAAGTGATGATGGATGAGGCTCGCTGGGCTTTTCGACACAAATATGTTACTGTATCCTTATTCCCTCCGGGCTGATCAAAATAAACAAAACAAGTGCTCGACGGAAATTTCAAACTAATTAATTACGCTCCCAAGGCCCTGATGTGGCATGCAAAATGTAGATTTAATTAAGAGCCGGAGCTGCAAGGTTTCTCTTATGATTGTAATTGGATAACTCATTCCTCAGGAAATTTCAGAATGCTCTGACCGCCAGACCTAAAGGCTGTAACTAAAGTTCATCATGGGGAGGATTTTGAGGTTATTTAGGGTCTGGTTTCTTTGGAAAAAAGTATTTCATTGAGTTAATAGGAACAGTTTCAAAGAGATTTGTGAACATTTACAATAAAGACAGTTTACACTGATCAAACTTTTGAATGAAAACTGGAGAACATCACCTGTCCTTGTGATTTTCATTTCGTCAAAGGTTGGAAAGTAGAGAAACACTGTCAAACCCATTTCTATATCCAACAACTTAGTCATCTCTGATTGCAGGAGGTACTCATTTTCTCTCATGGGGCACTGACACCAAGCACGAGTACAATCATCTACTCACTTAATTTGCGCAAATATGGAAGCGAGAATGAATAGTATTTACTCGCTTCATTCACATGTCAAAGCCATTTATGCTAATTTCAACAGTAATCCCTGCCAATTCAACTGGTGCGATCAAATGATGGACAGGAGTTTTTTACAATTTACCAGGTAATCCGACTCCCTCCTCACTTGCCTCCTGGCGAGCTCCTTTTTATTCCGGTTTTGGTAATTAAAAGAAAAAGCATCATACAATTCGTGGCACCCACACACCGACCCAGTCAGTTTGTCATCCATTTTAGATACCAGTGAACAACCGTCCGTTTTCAAACGTCACCCAGGAACCTTCGTGCTGATTAGTTAATCCCGACACAAATATCCGCTCAAGTTGAGACATTTTCAGTTCCCACCCAATTTGCGTCATTCGCGCCGCCAGGGTAGAACGAGCGTCTAATTGCGTCTTTGCATTGACTTAACATGTAATTTAGTCGCATGGATGATTTTACTTGTGTTTGGTGTGTGGAGACAGTTCGAGCTGAAACGTTCCTCAACAGGCCCTCTGTAGTGACAACCCAGAGGAACCTACAGGGGGAGGGAGCTCGGGAACTCCCAGAGAAGCCTGTAGTCAGCGGCTTAAATGGGACATAATGATTCAAAGTAAATGATCTCATCCTAAAGAATTTTTTCCACTGACCCTTAAAGTAGAGAGGGTGTTTCTTTACTGTTAAATTTATTAGAGCCTGAAACACTCTTTATCATTACATTATTCAGAGGGTTCAGGTGGAATCAATTCAGGTGGTCCAAATCCTTAAGTCTGAGTCATTGAGGTCCGGCTGAGTCATCAGCCTTCAAAAGTAAGACTCGGGTTCAAGTCCTGGACTTAAGTACCACAGCACAGGTACTTTGTATGTATCACATCAGTCCGACTCCTCTAATCATGTATTAAGAGAGTCAAGGACAGAAAAGCTGTGAAGTTATTGAGCACCATCAATACTCATCTTTTCTTTAAATTGCCGTGAATATTTCCCGACTGTGGCATCTCAAGTTCAGCTTCAATAAGTAAGTACTTGCTGATCATACTGCATGAGCTGTCTTAGTTGATCTCAGACTGCCATGAGTAGACAAAAGACGTCATAGAAACGACTGTACGAACTGGACTTGCAGAAGAAGAAGGATGATGGAAGGAGAAACTGAGGCTGTGGCCTGCAGCCAAAAACCCGACTGTCTGTAAAGATGAAGGTCACGCTCTTCTTCAGTCTCAGATCCAGACGAATGAAAGGCTCTGAGAAAGCTCAAGAGGGAGAGGTCTACCTTTGAGTTGACTGTTACAGCTCTGCTAGCTGTCAGGTGACAATTATCACAGAGGGACTGATGGGCTGAATACGACACAAGGTTCCCCCCGTGATACGTCTGTTCAGTGATTCGAAACAAGCTCAGAGAGGCTCATTGGACAGTTAACACAAGACCCTTCTTCTGAGGCCTTGTCTTATCCTGTCGGGATACTCTTACTTCAAACAACAACCTCTATGATAGTATTAACCCACATACAATCTGACATAAGTCAGATTGTATAAAGATAGAAGCAAAGTGACACTAAGTTTGATTTTGGGAGGGTTTTATTGATTAGGAATTGATGCTTGGTTGCACTTCCATGGCAACAGAGTTTTCAGCCTGTTCTTATGGGTAGATTTAACATTAAACACAAAATTTTCATTTACATTTACGTTTCAAACATTAGCCTGCTTTACTGTAACATATCACGCTGACCTTGTTATCTTTATGCCTGTTTTCTTCAATTTGATAGATGTCTTTTTGACTCTTTTCCGTCTGTGTTCAGGCAGTGTTTCTCTGCATTTCTTGCTGTATCTTGTTCAAAATCTCTTCAAAATCCTCCTTAATGTAATTTACCAAAAGTTTAATTTTTGCCACATTATCAACAGGAAAAGGTGAAATTATAAACTCAGTAAATGTGCAGTGCTCCTCTCTGTGGTTTATTTGATATTTGTTACAGGTGCGATCTGGTTGCTCTTGCTATTCTTAATCAATAAAAATTAGTTTTAGGGTTTTAGCCAATCAGAATCAAGTATTTAACCTAGCTGTATGATTCGCAAAAAAGCCAGGAAGTAAACTGGGAATAATTTTCTGAACTTTTGCAAAATTCTGTGTAAATTTCCAGAGAAAGCCTCCTGATAGAATTTCATATTTTATGCTGGTCAACCCTGTATGACTGTTTTAATTTTGACATAACAGCAAAATAAAACATTTTTTGTGTGTTTTGTCTTCTTCACAATGATGTTTTGCAAAAAAAAAAAAAAAGCTGGTGACATTAGACAATAGCTTGTTAGCAGAACTTTTTAGCAATAAATATCTGACAAGCGTGAGACTTTTCACAGCATCAGGGGAACATTTACTCTGCAGACGAAGTTCCATGAGGTGCTATTTTTCACTCAGATCTACACATTAGTTTAACATGCAGGAGTGGGAAGTGTTTGTATCAGTGCGATAACAGTATCTGCTGAGCCCAGCTGCAGGCACATTACTCCCACTGCTGAAAACAAACTTGTTTTCTCAAGAACAACATGTACTGCAGCAAAGCTTTGCCACAAGTGGAAACAAGAGCCGTAGTTGGTGAGAAATCGTCAAATAGCCATTAATCAATGTCAGAGTCGTAACATTGAAATCTCTAAAATCTCAGCTCTCCTTTCATATTTGAGAGGGACTGTGAAGGTTCAGCTTGGTGGTGGTAGATTTTCCCTCACAAAGGGCTTAGATCTTGACAAATAATGGTTTATACACACTGTCGAAATGGCTAAAATGTCATGAAATTTTGCCTCCCATTTATGGATCCCAATGGCTTTGGCAGCCATAACAGCGCACTCTGCCACGTTTGGTTTGAGTATAAAGTCCTTTTACAGCTAAAACATTTCCGAAAGCTCAGTCTGATCAGGAGAAAAGTTCCCATTTGATGAACTGTGATAAATGACTCTTCATCTTGAGCTGTCGTGTTGTACGACATCTCTTTATATACTGTTACAGACAAATGACACAGCATTTTTTAAAGTTATGAAGAGGCATTTTTTTCTAGTGGAGTTTTATGATGAGGAGGCTGGTCAGCTCAACCTCTTAATCGAGTAACTTGACCCAGAACCAGCACAGAAGCTAAGCTATCAATTGCTTCATACGGGGTTAACTCTACCACATAATTAACTCAAACATAAAGTCGATGGAGTGATTCATTTTTCACTTACTTCACCATCAGGGAGCCGCAGTTCAACACCTCTAATGTTGAATAGTTTCAGATTATATGTTCCTCCTGTGGTGCCATAATTAGCTTTTCTATGTAGGACTTTTGGCCAGTATTCTGATTGACATATTATATTTAATGAGAGCTGAAATAACTTACTGATCATTTTCAGTGCTTCAGGGCTTCTGAGAACTGTGGATGGATAAAACTTGATTAAAGGGATATTCCGGCGTAAATTTAAGTTAGGGTCAAACACACCGTAACACTGAGTTAGACATCCCCTCGAGAGATGAATGTTGCTTCTCTAGTTATACCAACATCAGCAACAACCGCACGATAGCAATACACAGCTGTCCACGTCTCAACGCACAAACCCCAACTAGATTACCAGGTGTAGTGGAGTTTCGCAGCTCATGGAAGAACATTTATGATTATTACTTCATGAAAATGTAATCAGACCAAGACGCTAAGGCAGAAGAACTACTGCATCTGCAGTGCAAAGTAATTATGATGATTATGACTTCATGGAAATGATCCGCTGCACTCGGTGATCGACTCCTCAGAGCTACCCAACAAACAAGCGGCTGCTGGAAGAGAGTAGGTGAGTTGTATTTGGTCTCTTTGCTAAAGAAATCAGGCAAAGCTAAAAAGATGTTTGATGGCTAGTACTATGGCTGGGACCCTATAAGTACAGTTGATGAAGTTAGGTGCTGTTCTGAGCATTATTTGTGGCTTTTTGGTCGAGGTTTGATCATGGAGACGTAGACCGCTGTGTATTGCTATCATATGGTCATTACTAAAGTTGGTATAACTAGAGAAGCAAGCAGTCGGCAACATTCATCTCTTGAGGGGGTGTCTAACTCAGTGTTACGGTTTGTCCGAGCATAACTTATATTTACTCCGGAATATCTCTTTAAAGGTCTAGTGCGTAGTTTTTACTGCCTCTCAGTAGAACACACTCAAATGGAACAGAATATCTCTTAAGTATGTTTAAATTGGTGTAAAATCATCTGAGCATACAAACTATTTTGTTTTGAGACTTTAATATCTTCTGAGGGGATGGACCCCTCAATCCCTGAGACAGACCAACTCAATGTGACATGTGGCTCCATGTCTGTCCTGCTGCCTTGTCCTGGAACAAACTGATCCAGACAAGATGACAGGGACAAAGTTTCTGATGGGCAGCCCCAGAGTGTGACATACAAGAATCGAAGTACTACCAGGATATGAAGGGGATGAAATAGACACTCAGATGCAATAAAAGTCAAGGGAACAGCCTGTATTTGATCATATCACACACCTGCAAATCTGCAATCATTCACAGAACACTTTTCTGTTTGAAGCAAGCCTTGGTGTAATGGCTTCCTGAATAGCTGAATTCAAAATAGTCAATGACCTATGAGAGGACCTGGTAGATTTTTTTACTGCAGGTGCGTCACCACAGGCAGAAACAAACCTTAAACGACCAATCGACTATTTCTAAGGAATAGAAATTTCTGAGAAAAAAAAACAACTACAAGGCTTCAAATCACTCTGCAAGTTTGTCTGACTGTGCCCATTAAACATGTGAAGGAAGAGGTGATATTTCAAGTACAACTGAGCTTTATTTGACAAAAAATGGAAAAACAGTCAGAGCTTTGATTCAGAGATGAAAGTGGATGGTCTGTTTGGTCCCACTGGATATCAGGAGCTGTGTGGATAAATTTTCTCACCACAGAGGCAATAGTAAAAACTTAAACATCAAAAACATGGAAATAATGGATGGTGAATCCCTGTGGAGTTGAATGAGAGCAGGTGTTTTTGGTCTTTTGATGTGGCACTTTTCTTGTTTTTCCCTTCTGGAAATTAACTGTATAGCCAAGAGGATTTGGGTTTAATTTTTGTTTTGGTTTATCCTCATTGTGCCCTTCTTTGTGGAGTCTTTTCCCCTCATTTAATCACATATGTCCTTTAACCAAATCTGATCAAATACATATGTCCAGACTGATTATTTCTTCCTCCTCACTCTCCTCTGCATTTAATACCATCAATCTGTCCCATGGTGTCCCCCAGGGTTCAATGCTTGGTCCTCTCTTATTCTAAAATCATGCACAGTTACGGTCTTCACTTTTACTGTTATGCTGATGATGCACAAATTTATGTTTCCACCGAATCTACCACATTCTCCACCTACAGTAGTACTGAACAACTTCCTTCGGCTGAATCGTGACAACTTCGACTCCATCATCATCACGGGCTCTGAATCCTTCACTGAAACCACCTACAACCTCCACATCACTATTCACAACATCACTTTGCCCCCCTCACTCCACATTCACAACCTTGGTATTAGTTTAGACAGCAGACTCACATTCATACATCATGTTACCTTGAAGCTTTCATTAGATATGTAAAAGTCAGGTGTGACGATAGAGGGTGTCTGTTACCTTGTTTAAAGAGCTTAAATCACTGATACACCTATTTAAAGCTGTTTCCTTTTTTTGCACTGACAGCTTTGCACCTCATTATTATTTTTACAATTAGCCAAGAGTTTTTAAAGACAATGTTCACTGTTGAGATAAGACCAGATTATTCCAATTTACTACACACCTAAGAGAGACAATCGGAGGCAAATTGCCATTTCACACTTGAGCCTCTCCAGACTGTATTTATTGGAATGTAACAGAAAAAAAAAAAAAAAAGCTAATTTCTTCCAGTAGAGCTAATTGCGCTCAGATAAGTGCTGCCTGTTCATGCAGAAATGTTTATGTTGATGATAATTGTTGTCTGTCCTATTTACATCAGTCTAATTATGGTGGATTGCTGGATTGCCACTTGAACTATGAAGGGCATGCTCATAACATTCGGGTATCAAACTGCCATGCATACTGATCGTGCTGAAGGGCCCATTTAAAGGGGGGGAGGGTGTTATTTTGTCTTTGCTAATGCCTGTGTATTTGCTAAGGTCAGCAAAAAGGTGAAAATAATAACAGACTTACATTTACATTTTTCTCATTGAAACTCTGGGTAGGACCAAATTTGAGAAGTTCCCAAGCACCCCTTTATGAATAAATGCTCTTAAACACAGTGCTGGGTCCAAATGCATTAATGAAGGTGCATGAATCTGACCCCAGTTTGATGTAAAATTTACAGCAGCTGTTCACACCTTTGCAAAGCTGACAAATGCAAAAATGGACATATTTAAAGCTCTATTGACATGCCACTAAGAAAAAAAAGGGAATTCAAATGAAGGACCTACAATTGGTCAAACATGACATCAATTATCACCTCTCTATCTGTGTACTTTCACAAGTTATGACACAGAGGGTTCACCATAGACTGTATAGACCATGGACAACTTAGCCTTCTGCCCTCTGTCATTATACGAATTTGAAGCCAAATTGCTCTCGGTATTTCCAGGATTCCACCACTTGCGCAGCAGCATTGTACGCATTTGCAGGACAGTTGCAATGACGTTCAGCTCAAATACTGTATCCCTGGGTGAGCTACGCAATCTTCGTACACCCCTAATTAATTTCTAAAGTTTGTCTGGATTGGAGGATACGGGATTTATGACCTATACTGCAGCTCGTCACCAGAGGGTGCTGTTCTTGCAGTGGCTTCACCCAGCGAGGAGGCAGACGGCGTCCATTCTATATAGAGTCTATAAGGGTTCACTCTCAGTTCAATCCCCCACTCATAATTTATTCCACTGTGAAGCTGTCCTGAGAAATTGAACAGGACACCTACGGCGAAAAAAGGCACACCTCCGTCTCTTTTCAAAGGGCAGCAGAGGAGAAGTCAGGGTTAATATTCCTTTGAAGGTTTACTCACTTAATGAACGGGGGCCTGATTTATTCCTGAAACATCAGCTAAAATATGAGGGAAATGTTCATCTGTGATTTTTGTATCTGTCAGTGATATTTGTCCATCACTTGAACAGTTTTTTTACTTTTGTCCCGGGCTGGTTTTGGCTTTCCTTTGACTGATTAAGTTTTCCATCCTACACATCTCCCCTAAAGATTAATCATTATTTGTTGGGGTGTCAAACTGCAGCAGTGGTTAGATTGTTAAGTAGCAAGCTATAGTGAGCTGCAATTTGTCTTTTTTTTTTTCTTCATCTTCACTCTATTGTGGTTTGAAGTGGAAGACTATACAAATTCACAGAAATCTATACCCATTTTCGATGTGAGGGGGTGCTCAGTGTTGTTTTTTTCTTGTGTATAGGAGGCTCATATCTTATAACACTGGTGTTTACTGCAAATCTAGCTTGAATGTCTTGGGTAGGTCTCAAACTCCTTTCTAGTGGCTGTCATCTGAAAGGAGAAGCACATTTTTTCTGAGAGTAACGATATGACATTGTTCTCGATGTTTTGTCAAGTAATAACACTTGAGATTTTATTCTTTTACAACTGCAGCCTTTTTCTTGTTTATCAGGCTGGTGGCATTGCTACCAAACTCCACAAAAAAACCTCAGCAACATCCATTATTCCTGAAACTGTCTGTGTTCTTCATCCAGTTTGTTTTGGAGGTTGTAAGAGTTCCCTTTGTATTGAGCAATAAAACAACAACAAACCTGCTTTTATTTGTGTTGTAATTTTATGCAAATGTGTTTTATTTCAACTTAACATGATGGGGAAGTTTTATGAGAAACACCTAAAAATGGTCCAGAGTATTTTTGCGGTCAGGGACGGGTCAGAGCGGGGAATGCATAAGTATCAGCCTCACAACAAAGAAGCTCAACCCCAGTAAGTACAACTTAGACACAAACATGCATCCAACTTTACTTTTGAATCCTTGTTTCCATATCAAAATGAAATTTTCAGATGACATTTCAAAAGGAAAACGCTCTCTATAAAGACGCCAAATTCCCATCACTTAAAAAACTGGAATTCTCACTGCAAACCAGGGCTCAAAGCATGTTGTTCCTCACTTTACATGTGCTTGTGGCCGAATGGGAGAAAGTCCCAAAGGAAAGCTTGAAAGTCCTGTGAAAATGTGCCATGCCTTATGGCTGTAAACTTCATTTGAGCGCAGTACAACACAGTCCAGAAAACTGTTTATGTCGCAGCAAAATATTGAATCTGAGGGAAGATTCTCTGCATTAGATCTGAGTAAAATGTAAATATCTGTTTTTGCCGCCTGTCTCACCCACATGTCCCGCAGGACACTCTGAGTCTTCTTTGAAGGCCATGCATTGAGAATCTGTGAGCCCACCGAGCTTCTCATTGACAGTCAGTGCAGCTGTTCCAATCTCAGCAATGCAGCACAGATGGCATCAAATATACTGCTTTAAGTCATCATTCACTTTAATGCTGCAGCTGCCCTGCCCGGCCTGGCCCGGGGAACGCTGCAGCTCACCTTCTCTCTGTCCGACTCTGGACTTTAAAAAGTTGCCAGGGTCCCCCCTGCTGACTCACAATAACCTGCTCAGTATTCTCCAGTGAGGGTAAAGGTTAGGAACGCTCACCTTCATACTGAACAAAGGAGGGAGCGAACACAGCTAAGCGGTACTGTACGTTATCAACTCACTGGTCAGCAGAAATAATGACTCATCAAGACCTGGTGTACCCCCTTTTTCGGAGCCTCACAATGGACGCCCTCAGAGGAAAATCCTCCAAACTCTTTCTTTTGTCCGAACACAGAACTTCTCTATCTTTTATTCTGCAGTCTTGGAAGATTTTTGCTGGCATTGAAAAAAATGACACATCCTCACTTTCTTCACTTCAGACACCTTTAGAAAACTGGATCCATCATCTCAAAGGAAAATACTTCAATCAGAGTTGACTTTTGTCCTCACATCACGTCTATTGTTCAGGAAAAGTGTAGTGTGCACTTTCTTACAAAGCTCTGCGAGCGGTACGAGCGCTGTACTGTACGAGGGTGTGATATTAGCACAGAGAGGTGGTGGTGACTCAGAGAGATAATCCTCACTATGAAGTGATGATTCATCTGGATGTGGGGGCTTAAAAAGGAGAGGATAGAGAGGCCCTGGAGGATTTCGAACATGATGTAAGAAGGCAAACACACAAGCAGAATGACTTCACTGCTTTCTAACTACTCACTGTCTGCTACTGCCAAACTACCAATGGTGGAAAACAATTGAACCAAGAGATGAATTCAAAATTAAAGCCTTTCTTTTCAGAATTGCACAGCCGGAGAATAGTATGTCTCGGCTGTTTCTTGGATTGTACGCAGTGAGTTGCTTTGTGTCTCTGCTTTGACCACATCATCTCTTCTTCAGAGGATAAACAGACCACCGTTATCTTCCATCTAACTGTCTCTCTGTAATCAAAACAAAGCCACAATTCATTGACAAAGATAAAAGTGAATAACATAGAAGATGAGGGTTCAATCATTCGAGAAGGATGGGTCCTGGGTCCCTCCCTGTAGAGGGGCTCTGGGCATATACCACAGTGAGGAGACCCCGGGGCAGATCTAGAACTCACTGGAGAGATTATACATCCCCACCTGGCCTGGGAACGCTTTTCTTAGGCTGCTGCCTTCATGAGTTAATCTCAGATAATGTCGCACAATAAAGAGCTGCAGACTAAATTTTGCTGTACCTGGTGAAATGACAACAAAGATATTCTATTCTATTCTAATTTGTACTTTTCTTTTCCCCACTATTCCATCCTGTTCCATTCTAATCTACTCCATTCTAATCTTTCATATAATTTTACTTCATGGACAGCTAGAATACATCATAGCCTTGCTAGCTAAACTGTGCTCAAATTTGACAATTTTTAGAGCGATTGACAGCTTCCTACACCTGCATCATGACCGAGCTGCTGCTGCTGCTGCTGCATGTGCCTGGACTCACCTTGAGACTGCAAGGACAGAAAATTGGTTGAGGGATGAGAGCAGAGCAGCAGGTTAAAGAAATAAGAAATAAACCGAGGGAGCGTGTTGGGTTCTCAGATAAGCATCGCAACAGGACTGTGGCGAGGTGAAACGTCAGGCAGCGCATGAATGTAATGATTTCACAAAGTGTGTGCGCCTTCGTGGTGGGAGAGGTGGGATTGGACACAGAGTCATTTGATGAGGAAAAGGGGGTCAGCTGAGTGAGGGGGTCTGCAATGATCAGAGAGGACCGGACAGGGCAGTTACTTTAATGATATGCTAATATTTATAAACCGCAGCTCAACGTTTGAGACTATGTTTGACTCGTTTTGATCTAAGTTTGTAAAATAAGAGTACAGATTTTTTAGTGGTTCCCTGTTTTAGGAGTATTAAATGTAAAAGTGGGATATCAGCATGCCAATGTGCCGTATATATCAGTGATTTTTAACCTGTGTGTGGCGGCACACTAGTGTCCCATGAGAGATCATCAGGTGTGTTGTGGGAAATTATCCAATTTGCAAATAATATTCCATCGTCGAGTGTTTGTGGGGTAATAAAGTGAGCGTCGGAGCAGTACTCTTCTATGTCACTGGGTGGCAGCAGACGGCGAATTGCTTTAAAAAAAATGAAAACAGAGAGAGACTGAGAGCTGTTGAGCTTAGTGTGTGGGCCAGGGCTCACACTGAGTGAGTATAAATAGAAACTATATTACTAACTATATTGTAAGGATGATCCGAAAATGGCCAAAAAGGGCATTTTTGGTTTTCGGCCGAAACACTTTTCTCACCGAAACAGATGCCGTGATGACGTGAGCAAAAACCAGTATGCGCTTGTCTAGATAGAGCCAAAATGTCTGCGATGTCGATGTATCTCTGAACTACAAATAGCGATTGGCATAGCCTGGGGGTGCATCTGCAAAGAGTTTCTTTACATCTGGTTTAATTTATCACCTGATATCCAAACATCCCAATCACCATTCTGAATATGAAATGAACATGAACGCGGCATGGAACGGGAAAATCCCTCCGAGCATGCCCACACTGGGGGAAGATTCACTTCTTATTGATTTAACAGAAATCAACATTGCAGACTCACGCTCAGCTCCCACTCTTGGCTGCTTAAAAGTGAACATACTGACACTACCTCTTCTTCTAGCCGCGTCTCTACCGCTCACAACAGATTTTGAGTTGTTTTTGTCCCTGACTCACAGGCGCCATCTAAAGGTGTAAACCACTCAGGACATGCAGCAACATGCTGACTCAAAACCTCAAAACTTACTTTGCAATTGCATAAATTAATATCAATTTAATATTTAACATTAATTAATATTGATTTATACAATTGCAATGCCTTGATTTTATTGACATTAGAACACAGTCATAGCTGTAACTACAAAGGCACTAATAATTGGTATATTAATTTATTTCGGTTTCGGCCTCGGTTTCCTCGGTGCATCCCTGCATTCTATAATATATCCTGTGTTAGGCTATAGAGTGTCATTTTGGTCGGTGGTGTGCCTCAGGATTTTGTCAATGTAAAAAATGAGCCGTGGCTCAAAAAAGGGTTGAAAAACACTGGTATATATGATGTCATGTGGAGTAAACCAAACTCTCTCTTCCCTTTAGTCTCATGTGTGTACCTCTGGTTTGGTCACAGTGCAGCTGAAACCAATAATACGCTGCAGTCGCACCGTTACAGTCTGCTCTCCATCTGGATTCCTCAGCAGAAGGAGGGGCAGGAGGCAGAGGAGAAGAAGAAGAAGAGGGGGGCGAGTTAAGAGGTGCAGGGAGAGGAAATTTGGGTCACGCTTGAAGCCATAATGACGGTATAATGCACCAGCACAATCTCTGCTGCAGCGCCAAATAAATCATAGATGCAACACCCTTCACAGATAATAACTAATGGCTTCTCTCGGCACCTGAAGCCAGAGCACAATATGAACCTGCACCCAACAAGTTAGATAAATGAATCCGACACCTGACATTGAGCACCCTCGACTACACACATGCACACACACACTCACCTCTCAAACTCCAGCCAATGACATTTCACAGCTACCTCGGAGGCAGCCAAACAAAGATTGATCAGAGCAAAAGGTATCAAGTAGGAGATTATGGGACCGAGTTCCCAGTTTCCATTACCAGCCTCCTAATCCGTTTATAAGGATATGCTCTTAATGGGCGTGAGCGGTGTGTATTGTGTGTGTGCGGGGACATCATCCATCACGGATGGACCTCAGAGGAGGCTGGGGGACAGAAGGGAAGGTTAATGTCAGCCCAGATCGGACTGAAAACCACATTTATTCACCAAGCAAATCTCGGGTGACAATGCTGAGCGATTTAGCAGCTTTCTTCTCATGCTCTAACCGACATCTGTGATACATGTGCCACGGAGACGCAGGTCAGCCACCTGACAGACTGCACGACAATGCCCTCTCACTGAGGCCTCATAGTGGATCATAAATCATCCTTTTCCCTCAAAATAGAGGAAAACCAAATCCCAGTCAATCCTAAACAGAGGGGGAGACAGCTTCACAATCCAATACAACTTCATCCAGAGTTTGGAGCGTTTATTCACCATCAACACTCAGTAATCATGTCTGTGAGGGATTGAGAGTGGTGGAGCCCAGTGTCAGTTTTTCTCTGCCAGAGTTTCTAAGCTTTCTGAACAGGCAGGACTGGCCTGGCTCTGCTCTCGCTGGTATTGCTCCAACTTCTCAGCCTCGCTCATTAGCTACTTATTTCTCAGTGGACTTGCTGTGTGACGGCTTCCTGCTCTTGTAGCTCTGGAGTACCCAATCAGCTCTGTGTATTGGCAGCAATGATTACTGGTTTGAGTGGAAATTCCTCTCTGTCCCCCATAATTATGAATGACACAAGTACTGAAAGTATACAGCAGTACAGCTATTGAGTTATTGACAACAAACTGCAGACTTCTGCACCAACGTTAGTATTTAACGTCAACAATTTTGAGTTTTAAAAGCTGACAGTAGTGAGAGTGTAGATGACGCTCTTTACAGGGGCGTCCAAAAAAGGATGACCAGAGGTGGCTCAGCCCGTCCTTTCAGGGGCAAAAGTTGTGTAAGAATTTTTTAACAATTTCATTATTTTATTTATTTTCTTTTAAGCAGATTTGGTTCATGACTTTCCGAGGACTTTATAAACACGGTCAGTAGATGGTGGTATACTCAACGTTGGTTTGCAAATCCACCAAAAGGAAGGCAGAAGACAGAAACCATGGCAACTACGTATTTGAAAATGTCTCTATTACTGAGACGCCAACACCTCTGTAGAGCAAACCCTTGGCTAAACCAGGAGTGTTCAGCTTTCTAATATAACCGCCCAGCCTCAGCTGATTGCCGTCAACTGAAGGGGGACTTCACAGGTGCTCCTGATTTACAACTCAACATCTGATCCAGATATAACAACATAACAAGACGAGGTTCCAACCAATCAAGAAAGTCCACTTTCTCGTTTTAGCACAGCTGTGTTCCAATAGTCCACCAACCCTGCCCTGATACACATAAACCATGTTTGACACCAGCTCCTTCAGCAGACTCAGGCTCGTGGTACTGTAACCTACACACGTCCACTCATGACGGGGTAATCAATATTAATATTTACTACCAAAATAAAAGCTCTCTAAATACCGTCTTAAACTGACATGATGTTGACAAGATAAATGTTCTGATTACAAGAAAATGCCAAAAAACCTGAATCCTGCACTCATGATTCAGCCTCGGCACCTGGCTGAAGGTAGAAATATCTGTTTATTCGAGTCACTAATCTTCTTCCCTTATTTTTCCTTGGTCACACTGACACAATGCACAAACAAACCGATCACTAAATTGATGGAAATCTGTTGTAGCGACAAAGAACTTGAATCCTTGCTACCCACGGTCCCTGTGTATTACTTTGAAATCCTTTAAAGTCGCCTCTATAGGGGCATATTGTCTGTGATCGTTTGAACCTTCTCATTGATTCAACACTTGCTGGGAAGCTTCTGTGAATCTGAAGACCTAGAGGCTGTTTGCACCTTTGTGCACAGGCAGGCATTTTTGCAGATCTGTGTGCGTGGACTCTTTGAAGGGAGCAACAAACCCACTTCTGTTCCTATGCAAGACAAGCTGGTTGTTGTTTGAAGCCAAAAAAATTAAAGCAAAAATACATTTATCAATGACTGTCTGTTTACGAGAAGAAAAAGAGTTTTTCACAGTCTGGAGTACTTCATGCAGAGACTCTCAGACCCAAACTACCCTTAGATCAACGGTAAATTGACAATCATACTTCCAACTCTTTCATATTGCAGGAAATAAAAGTTTTCTCCGTGCATTATTTTTAAACTTTTACATACACACTTGCGCTCGCACTCCCTCTCTTGCACACACACTAGATGGACACAGATCAAAGAATACATCCACACCATTTTTATTCTTCACTAGAGTATATCCGCGCATACTTTGACCCTCTCAGCTCCTGCTATTGTTCTGGATTCGACAGCCTCTGTCATTGTGTTTTATCTCCTCCTCCTCTTTGAGTGTCAGCTCTTCTCTTGGCATGTTTTGTGGTTAAAAATGTCTATCGAGCGACGAATTTCAAATGTGTTTCTCTACAATATTGCAGGCAGTGCAGAGGAGTTTACCTCCACTTTCATGTAACGCATCTGGAAACTGACTTGCACGAACTTTGGTGGTGATGTTTGCTAATAAATGTGAGTGTTTAGCGTCACACGGCTTCATTTTCTCAATGTAATCAAGGAAGAGAATAGTTTTATTGGTCAAATTTCTGCAGTGATTGGTTGACCATCACAAATTCCTGAAGGGACTGATTTTAATGCACAAACAGTGAACAGGACTTCTACATTAAGCTTACTGTATTGCCATATGTAGGGAGCTCGGGAGGTGACATTAACTTTTTTTTTTAATTAGCACCCGTGTTTTGTTTTATCGTAGGTGCGATTTAACAGTTTGTTAATAGGCAAAATCACTTCCTGCAAGTCCGAATAGCTATCGCCAAAGTCGCTGTGCTTTAAGGATCCCGATGAGGCGTCTCCTACTTAGAAAAATACCAAATGTGTCTAAGCTATAAAGTATCTCTTTGTGAGTCATTTTACCTAAATAAAAGAAAATGTTAATAATATGCTCTCTGTTTATGACACTGTCCTTCTTCTCTCACAAATGAGGCGCGCAGAGGATTATTTACTGAAACGCATGCGCAAGATAAAAATAAAAGGCACGTACAAGATTCGTCTAAGATGCACAATTGAGATACTAAATTTGGTATCTTGCAGAAATGCAATATAATAAAACGCAAGTGTGAGATACTAAATTGCACATGCAAATTAAAATAAGTAAAAGTTCATGTCACCTCCCAGACTTCGTACATATGCCGATTTTTAGCACAATCATTTTTTTCTTTTCCAAAATACAGTTATTGTCAATACATTGAGACAGCCCTAATGCAGATATCATAATGCTCTGCAAGGTGACGATCAAATCTGGACACAAACTGCACCACCACGCTCCTTGAACTACTTTTTATTGTTTTTATGAGGTCCACTGAATTCACGATGCTGAACAGGCCACCTCACTAACCCACTACTTCTGTGCAACTTTACAGATGCTCAGAGTTGCCTGGTTCTCCACACTGCTGTATTTTATCTCCCTGCTCGCTCCCACTCTTGTTTAGTCAGGTAATGCACTATAATACCTCTACTTACACCCACCAGAAACCTCTGAATCACGGGTCAAGTGCGTACTTACCCGTTCACACAGAATGACAGTTTCACACAAAAGAGGAAAATTTGATCAGATTATCCTCTGAAAGGTTAAAACTGTACGTCCCCGGCATGTGGAGCCTGATTTAGCCTGACAAGTTCCTGTGCTTTTACTGACAAAGAAGTTCATCTCTCCGCTCAGGCTCAGAGGAGTGAAACTGAGGGAAAGTGAAAGTTATGAGCACTGTAGAGAAAATGGTCATCAATTTTTTAATCTATTTTCACACTATTTTTCTTTCAGTGGATCCGAATGTAGAAAAAAAACAACACTTTTCGACAGGTAGCACGTTGCGTCATACCCCTGAAATGCTCAGCTGGCTTGCACTGATGCACGGAAAAGCCATGATGTATTCATAAGCTCCACATGAATATGAAACCGAAGAGGGGAGCGGGGTGCGTTCTCTGACACATCTCGCCATAAAAACGCAGCCAGCATGACACACTTTTAGAGCAAGGAGGTGTTGCAATATTTCTAAAAGCCCTCCCCGTGATATCAGAAGGCGCACTCATAGCTTTGATTTGCCCAAAGACATAAGCTTTATGAAAATAAACGGAATGTCTTTGAACCAGAAGCATGGCAGAAGCGTCTATTGAACAGCAGCCTATTTTAGCAGCCTTTTCCTGGGGTGAAATAAACATACGCGCGCTATTCATTTGTGCGCTCCCCTGTGATTGTTTGAACACCTACACTGGCATAGACAGAGATATGAATGTGCTGAACATTGCTTTGATTGAAGAAGAAAAAAAAAACAGAGCTGCAGCCACAGGCATTAGTTGGCCCTAATTATTATGAATCAGGCTCCAATTTTAACTCCTTTTTACTTAACCCCACGATGACTCAGATCAACAGCAGTCAGAGGATCCGCTCTACTGGCCCGGCCTCAACAAAGCAACCCTCTCTGACTCTCAATTAAAGAGAAAGAGGCTGAAAGCAGCTTAGGTGAGAAGAAAATGCAGGAGTGAGTCATGAGTACCAGCCACGCTTTTCTGCAGCTACAAAAC